GAGCAACTTGTTGGGTTGTACACTGCTCCATAGTCTGCTGAATCCACACAAGCCGATGGTGTTCTGGCATATGCAGGAATGGACGCTGCCACCTAGGCTCCATAGTCATGAAGTTGAACATGAAGAGATACTGTTCTTGGGAGATGTCCAACGTTGCCAATAAATCCATGCATTGATCCTGAATGTTTTCAATCTGAGCCGACATGTTCGCAGATGCACTTACACCGCGCGACCGACTGCTTGTTTCTATCGAATTCACAAGGCGATCCACGGCACGCTCCATATAGCTAGGCGACGCTCTACGAGAGCTACGACTTGACCGTCGACGTACTACTCGCGGTGGTGAGTGTGCATGTTGTCTGCGGCTTTCTCTATGCATGCCATGTCTTCTATCTGTAGGCGGAACATCGTCACCGTCGTTGAAACTAGTTGTTCCTCGCTCAGTTGGGCTGCCGGACCTATGTTGTGGTGGAGCATCATCTTGACCATACTCAAAGGCCCCATTTGCCCGAGTATTGGCAAACGCGCAATAATATAGATCGTAATCCAACAAGGGCTTCCTCCTCGCCCTTTCAACCTCGGGATGGATCTGTAAATGGAGCAACAAATATTAATACAACAGGTGTCACATTTCTGTAAATGACATATACTATTAGAAACTTACACTGATAAATTGTTGCCAATACTCGTCAGTGCAAGTGGGTTTCTTTTGAATCGGATCCCATCCAAGTCCGGTGGCAGTGCGAAGTAGAAACTCAGCATCAAACGTTTTCTTCAGTCTACTGGCTTTTTGTTTGACTTTGTCCCAAGTTAGGGGAACGGTAAAATGCTCACTTAGCTCCGCCGCCCATTGTGTGTATTTATCTCGGTGAGGGGTGGTACCAACAGAGTTCAATAAATTGAACTCACCTAGACGTTTAAGCAGTTCTTCCTCAGCTTCCGGGCTCCAGTTTACATCTCTATCTCTCCTTCTCGCCATCTATGTATTGACAATACCATAATGGCAGCAATACGTATGTACATAGCATACAAAATTCATTTAATGAGCTCGGATGTTGGAAGGAGGCTCAGATTTGTGTAAAGGCCGGTCATCGTCCTATTATGGAGCATTATCCAAGGCTGACAGTTAGGCTACCAAGGTTTATGTTCAATTACTCTTACTGGTAGGGTTCTCATACACTTTATGCCTTGATGTTATGCATAAACCGGCAACCAATATGCTGCCTAAGGTTTAGCTAATGTCTCCATATTGATCAAGCAAGGCATTGAAAGTGAATTAAAGCAACCATACCAACGAAGAGTAATGGGATAAACCGGCACCCAACCACTACCCCAGCCACAGAATATCACTCGACATACATGACTAGGCCATTAAATACAATTATATCATCATAGCCACGGAGAATTGCAATCTAGAAACTGAAAAAACCAGAAACAGTTTCTGTTTTCTTTTCCAGAAATTGCACAGCAGGATTTACAAATGTACATATGAAAAGAATATTAACAAACGATGCCAAATAATGTAAGTATAGAACGATGCACACAGAGAACATTCTTAACAGATGAACAAGGTACGTAATGTAGCTAACCTAGCAGGTGTGTGTGGACATAAGCATTCACAGCGTTTGATGAAGTCTAGACGCTGAAATCACCGGAAACAGGTTCTGGTTTTTTTTCCAAAAACTGAACAAAAAGAGGTTCCAACAACTAGTGCCCCGATGAAGTATAGAGGCTGAAAGCACCAAAAAAATAACCAGCACAAGCCACTGTTTTTCCAACATTACCAACATAGGCAAAAAAGGCCCTCTAGATACTGTTCTCTGGATGCAATATAGAAGAGAGATCACTGGAAACAAGTTTTTGTTTTTTTTCCAGAAACTAGCTTACGATAGGGTGAAGATGGGTAAATTGGTGACCGGCAAACATTTAGGACTGTTAGAGATCAACAGGGCACATCAAAATGTAAATGACATATTCCACAATCTCAAAGGGGTTGCAACAGACTAGTGCCCCGACAGAGTATAAAGGCTGAAAACACCAAAAAAACACTAGAACAGCCACTGGTTTTTACACAATACGAACATAGCCAAAAAAATGGCAGCGGGTGAACTGATATCTCAATGCAATCTAGAAGAGAAATCACTGGAAACAGTTAAAATTTGTCTTCCAGAAACTACAAAACAGGGGTCCAACATAGGAGTGCTCGATGAAGTATAGAGGCTGAAAGCATATGAAAAAATCACC